ACAGGGAAACCGGCTCGGTTCTTTGTGGCTGTCTGGAGGGGGGGGATAGGGAGGGTGGGAGGGAGGGAGACAAAGAGGGAAGAGATATGGGAACATATGTATATGTATAACTGATTCACTCTGTTATAAAGCAGAAACTAACACACCATTGTAAAGCAATTATACCCCAATAAAGATGTTAAAAAAAATAAATAAAATTAAAAAAAAAATATATATATATATATATAATAATAGATTCTGTAGAAAAATTCTCAGTACACAAGCTAACACCATCTATACCACATCTCATGTTGCAAAAATAAGTAACTATAAGCAGAACTTTATTTTTTCCCAGAAGACAGTAGAGAAATTCTAAAGATGCAAGTATATGGACCCTTTCAAAACCTGTAAGTGTTGATGGCACCAGGACTTCAGTATGTCCATTTCATTTCAAAATTTCTGCCTTTATTTAACATTTGCATAAAAGCATTGTTCTTACTTTCACCTGTAATAATCTGTGGTTTTGGATTTTCAAATTGAGGGAGAGATATAAAATAACTTTCCTAAGTTAAAGAGGAAAATGCAAAGGGATTTAAAATGATGACCAATGACCAAAAAATAAAAATAAAAAGGAATGAAGGGGGACTTCCCTGGCGGTCCAGTGGTTAAGACTCCACGCTTCCAATGCAGGGGATGTCAGGGAAATAAGATCCCACACTCCGCATGGCCAAAAAACATGTTTTTAAAAAAAAAATGAATGTAGAAAAAAATGGAAGAAAGAAGGTGGCAACCAATAATGGCTCATGACAACTTGACATTATTAAAAACATGTGAGAAGAAGATGGAGACACAGCGAACACTCCAAATTTAGTAGACGAAAAGATATTTACAGATGAGAAAGCTTTTTCTTTATTATTAAACACAGGCTTTTTTATTTCTCACTTATAACTTACATGATGCATTTTCTCCCAGACAACCAGAATTCATTGAGTTGCTCTCTCAATAGAAAAATTCAATATGATCTTTATTCCATCTCAAGTGAGGATTAAAACATGAATTTCACAAAAATTTTAGCTCATGCCCTGTTTTCCCATTGGTGTTTATGGTAACTCATCAAATTTGATCATATTACATAACTACGTCAGACCACGGTTTTATAATTGTGAGTAAAATCTACTTTTTAAAACAATGATCCCACATGAATAAAATAATTTAATATATAATCTACAGATACGAATTTCAACTCTTTTAAAATAATTTAATACAGACTTAGAAAGCCACAGGTTCTTTCTCTTACCATTCAGTAAACAAGACAACCAGATCCTCTTGACTGGCATAATGTTCCATGACTTCTTTCATCAATCTCACTTTTTGGCCCCCTCCAATAGTATTAATTCCATCACCACCTCTCCACTCCTTTCCTTGACCAAGCACCTATAAATGAAATCAACATTTCATCCCTGGGCAAAACTCAGATTATGATAGTATTATAAAAACTGGAAGTCACCAGCAACTTGTACAGTATAACACAGTATCACTCTTTTAATGTTACACTAAATCATGATGCTAAACAGAAAAAAATTTGATGTCTAGGTTAGGTCATAATTCTTCAATATTATTTACCCTGTAGAATGCCATTCCTAATTTTACCATTTCAAAAGTGGAGTCTAATCCAAGGAAGCTGGGGGTTGGTAGGGGAAGCCCTAGAAAGTATTTCTCACATCCTATTTCTCTTTATTCAGACTGAAATGAAAAAGAAAATGAAACTTTCCGTAACACTTTTCAATCTGGCTGGAAATCTGTCTGATGAACGTTGGGAGCCCTGGAAGCTCAGTAATTCCTGGCTGGGGCCCTTAAGCGATTTTCCTGCTGAAACCAGATCGTTTGTCCAGGGAAACACGCATCAAGTCAAACGTCACACCTTCTTTACCTTAAAAATCTTAAGTTTAAGTTATCCTCAAAAGTTTAATAATTTATCAATACAAGAAATCGCCTAAGCACAATTACTCAGAGCTAAGCCTGCAGCCATTCTCGGCTCTGTTTGCTTAGCCTCAGCAGCTGCCTCCTGAATCATATGCCTGCTGACTCACCTGGCTGGGAGGGAGCAGGAAGCAGGTCTATGACCCCTTCCACCACACACACACACCTTGTATCTTAGTTTCACCAAAACAAAGTCTGAAGTTCCCAAAATAAGGATCTACTAAAAGATTTGTGAAATTCAGGGGGAATGAAATTAAGAATAAATACAAAAGAAGAAGATCAAATTAATTTAGAAAATAAATATTATTAGTTCCAAATTTACTTAACATTGAGCCAAATACAAGAGTTCGTGGCGTTCCCAGCCTCAAATCTCTAGTGAGCACTTCATCACTACTTATACTGAAGGGATAAATGTTAACTCAAACTGTGGCGGGCACCTGGATTCATACGCAGGCTAGTCTAATAGAATTATTTGATTTTGCCCTAAGTGACCTCCTCTGGCCCTAAGATTTGTTACACTTCTGTTCTACAACCCTTCTGGACTTCTCCAATATTGCAGTCATACCGGGCCTAAGTGCATCTGAGCGCCTACTCTGTGCAGCACTGTGTTGATTAAGCTCTAGTCTCTGTTTTCTTTCCACAGCATCCATGTGTCAAACTTTGGTATGCATCCGAATCACGTGGAGGGTTTGTTAAAACACAGACTGCTGGTCCCTTCTCCCAGAGTATGCGATTCAGTTAAGTGAGGTTGCGCCTAAGAATCCTCATTCCTATTTCCCAGATGATGCTGATGGTGGTGGTCTGGGTCCACATTTTGAGAACCACTGCATTTCACAATGGAAAGACAGCAGGAGGATCAAAAACTCCAGAGTCAGTCAAACGGGGCTAGGGTCCAACATTTGATGCCTTACAAGTGCGTACCCTGGAGCAAGTTTTCCTCACTAATAAGTAAAGTAATACCTACCTTACATGGTTTATACAACGAATCAACAGCATACCATATATGAAGGTCCTAACACAGTGCCTCACATGTAAAAAATATTCCACACTCTCCCCTTGAGATGCCCCTCACTGGATTTCAGCATTATTTTACCCTGATTTTTCTTTCATATTGCCCCCTACCAATGCTTACTACAATATTTCCCTTCTAACAAACTTCTCTAACATATTTCTCATTTATCCTACATTAAACACCTACATCTCTTTTCTAGCAAAGTTAGCCTCTTTAATAGTTATTCTGTATTAACATCTGTACCTAGTCTTCCAGTGGCTAGGTAGCAAATATTACCTTTTTTGTGCATTACATTCTGAAATAGCTCAGTTTTCTGAAATAGCTCGGTTTTTCCCTAGGCAAAAAAGCAATTTTTCTCTCCTTTTTTTTTTTTTTTTTTTTTTTTTTTTTTTTTTTTGCTGTTTTTTGGGTTTTTTTTGCGGTACACAGGCCTCTCACTGTTGTGGCCTCTCCCGTTGCGGAGCACAGGCTCCGGACGCGCAGGCTCAGCGGCCATGGCTCACGGGGCCAGCCGCTCTGCGGCATGTGGGATCTTCCCGGACCGGGGCACGAACCCGCATCCCCTACATCGGCAAGCAGACTCTCAACCACCGCGCCACCAGGGAAGCTCTGCTGTTTTGTTTTGTTAATGAACTAAGTTTATTTGTTTTCCTACCTGGGATATTTCCCTATTCTCCTCTGCATGTGGAAAAGACCTGGATGACATAGCCTAATTTCTATTAGAAAATAAATAAGTGTTTTTTGTTTTTGTTTTGGTTTTTAAAGGCAGACCTTTCACAGCTCAGTTTACTAGTCCTACCAAATACCCCAGGTTTCCTCTGATCATTTATCAGTGAGCTATTTCCCTGGAGATAAGTCTTCTAAAACCCTTTTATACTTTTATAATGTTATTAAATTCCTCTGAAACAAACAAATAAAAAAACAGGAAAAGCACCTCTCAGTACTGGAACAGAAAAGGTATCTCCTTCACAGTAATGTTTCCAATTCTCAGGGCAGACAAACCCATTACAGAAAAAAATTCTTCAAAGTAAGTGAAAAAAATTACTGTCAAATCTTAGTTATGTTGTACCTGTACATGACCCCCCAAAAGAAATATAAGTATAAATATATTTTTCTGTTGTTTTATAGAACGTGTTTACAAAAAGCATTAGCAAATATTAAGAAATTATTGTCTGAGTGGCAGAGTATTAATAAGGCCAAAACGTATCTTTAAAACAATCAATATAGGTAAACTGACACCATTATGTAACCCAATTTCATCATCCTTCTGGGGACTGCAGATCATGTTGTGGTTGTTATTGTTGTTGTTATGAAAAATGTACTTCAGGCACATATTCTAACATCTCCATGAATTAAAAGATATATCATACCTTCACAGTATAATTGAAGTATTTGGCTGACTGCATAAATCGATGGAATCCATCACTTTCTTTTGTTGCTACAGTTATGACTAATAATTTATCTGCAAAGACAGAGGGAATAACATAAGACAGTTTACCAAGAGGCTAACTCCTCACACTTTACAGATCACTGCAGTGATTAGAGACCTCATTAAACCTATGGGAATGTTCTGGTTTGTTCATCTACATGAGGCTAAACAAAGAGCTGTTGAAAAACTAGGCAATTAAAATTGGTTATATTACTGCCAAACGACAGACTGCCAAATAATGAATTATTTTAATGGTAAAAAAGTACATTTATTTTTAAGGTAAAGCATGCCCTCAACAGAGGATTTCAACACTAAGAGAAACACTTGCATAAAATGCACGAAGTTTTTATCTATAAAGACAAACTCTCCTAAATGTTACCTAATCAACGAGGTTCACTGTCACCTATAAATAATCACTGATTTATTACACACTTCAGTGAGTCCAGAAGCACATTATATTCCTCAAAGCACATGTACAAAAAGAGGAGATCCAATCGTGAGACTGATCCTAATTTTTTAAAATAAATTATGATGAATTGGGAACAAATATTTAGAAAGAGAATCTTTATTTTTCCTCCTATCAATGAATTTTTGTATATGGGAAGTCTATAAAATCCACATTTACACCACCTTCGGTGCTTTGCTTTTTCTTTAAAGAATAAAAGGAACTAAAATCAGCACTGCCCTGGTAAATACAGCTTTGAGTCACCATTTTATAATGAATTATTATTTTCAATCTAACAAAACACCTCGTCTTAGCAGAAGTAGATAGATTTAAGGAGTCATTTCAAAATACCTATAGAAGCTATTAAGGAAAATGCTTATCAGAAAAAGACATGTTGGAAAAATGCATAAAAGAAACAAGTGCGTCAGAAAATGCCAAAGGTTAGCAGCCAGGGCATTTTTTTTAACCTTAGGATATAGGAGGACCAAAGGACTAAGAAAACAAAATTAACATCTTTTTAACATTCTAGGCACTGAGTTATATCATTTGACTCTCACTTGATTGTTATCAATAAGAAAAAAGTCAGACAGTGTTAAATATCCCTTAAACAGTAGACAATCATTGAAAATGAAATACATAGCATTAATGTATTAATCAATTAAAAACAATTTCATATGACCCAAGGTAATCATCAAATTTTGAAAATACTTTAAACAAAATATACATAAGTGTAAGACACATAAAGAAAGAAATTCAAACAAGTCAACCAAAAACAAGGAAAACATTTTCATGAAAATAAATATCAACATTCTTAGATATTTTTCTAGAAATATGTATTTCTCACATAACTTTCACCATTATGAGAAATAGATATTTAAGGAAAAATAAAAGTTATTTTCATTAAAGCTGTCAGGGCTGAAGCAAATATATTTTAAGAGTACTTTTTCAATTAACTATTCTTTAAAAAACAAAATTTCATTTGTGAAGTTTCAAACAGGGCTTAACAATTAAGAAAACTTGACCTATTTATCATTTACAATAAATTTTGAAATAGGCAATACAAGATTTTATTTCATAAGAGTAAAAGGAATACTTTTTAAGTCTCTTTTCTGCATAATAAAATGACAAGATAGCTTTCTTTCTTAACTTTTTCTACACAAAAAAAGTTTATAGATTTTACCTGGATGGATTTTTATACTTATAATTTCCAGTACAAAATTAACAGCAAGGATTTCATCATCCTTAATAGGAAAAGTAATGGGAATATATGTATACATATAGCTGATTCACTTTGTTATACAGCGCAAACTAACACAGCATTGTAAAGCAATTATACTCCAATAAAGATGTTAAAAAAAAAAAAACAAAAAGTAATGTTGGCCAGACCCTTGGGCAGACAGAAATGTTATGGAATCTAATGACTCAGAAGGCAAAACTAAAAATATGTAGTCTGACTGTGTCTGGCAAGCCTATGCCAAATAAGGACTCCTGTTGCTTCAGTACTGTGGCTAATTACAAAAAAGCAAAACCAAGTAATAAATAAGTAGTTCTGTCAAAGGCAGGCCTGTTCAATAACATTACGTAGAAACTTCTGTTTCTTCTTACCTGCTATTCACTATCGTGACTATGATGAGAAATAAATCTTACTCAACTGGGGGAAGTAAAAGAAGAAAGCGCTGACATGCACCACTCACAAGTTCTTGCCAACCAGTTCAACAGTCCAACTTGTTCACCATCTACGGAGTATGTGTGTCAAAAAATTTAACCTACATTTGACACATACTTTAGGTTCCACTAAAATTTATATCACAAATTTATCAGAAATATAAGGACAGAAGACAACTGATCTACAGAATCAATGGCAAAAGAGAAAAAAGGAAAGGGAAACTATTATAGTATATCACCAGAATTAAGAGACAATTCAACCAAACATACATCACGGCCTTTATTTGGGTCCTGATCTGAAAAGTCAACTGTAAAAGCGTATTTATGAGAAAATTAGGAAAATCTGAACACTAACTTGTATTTGTCAATATTACGGAATTATTGTTAATTTCTTAGCATGCTAATGGCATTGGTATTTTTTAAAGAGTTGTTATAATTTAGAGACAAATAATAAAGTATTTACTCAATGAAAGGAAGTAGTGTTTGTGATTTGTTTTAAAATTATTAGGGGTAGATGGGAGACAATGGAGGAGGAAGATAAAGAGTAAATAAGATTGCCCATGTATGATGACTATTAAAAGTGGGTTCCATTTATATATGTTTGGAAATCCCTAAATTAAATAAAGAGAGAGTTCGACTTTATGCACAATCCCTAATCTTCCAATCAGAAAAATATTCAATATAAAACTCTTTTCAACAATCTGAATCATCTAAAAGGAAAAACAGAATAGACAGCAGAAATTTTCTAACCAGACAATATTATAATTTAAACAACTATAATTAGTACCTTACCCAATCCACCCACAAAAACCAAAAGGATCAAGTGAGATGATTGAAGAAATGGGCTTGAATAATGGGTACCCATCAACCACTACCAAAACCAGTCTAAGATGGTGTCAAAGAAAAGACAAATGGAAGCCCAACTGTGACCAAACATAAAACTCTAGAGCCACTGCCTGACTCTGTTAGAAAACAGTTAATACAGTTTGCATGAGCAAGAAACATGTAAATCATCTATAGAGTGTGGTCTATTACAACAACCATTTATCAAATGAAAATCACATCATAGCAAAAAAAAAAAAAAAAAAACCTTCTGTAATCATATTCACAAAGTCCCTCAAAATACCTAGCACCATAGTAAGGTTTAATAAATATTTGTTAAGTGGCTTAATATTTAGCCCCCTATGAAAATTTAGATGAATAACAGAATTTCTCCAAAAATCTAAATCTTTTTTATTTAGAAAGGCAAAAAAAACAAAAAACACCCTGCTATGTTCTTTCTTACTAATGAAATTACAGCTCTGGGGAGGAAAAATGGCATTGTTAGTCTTTTTTTTTTTTTTCCTCCAAATAGTTGTTGATACGATACCAGAATTCATCAATTTTTAGAGCTGATATAATTTTTCTTTCCAAAAACAAATCATGGCTTTAAAACAGGAAGTTTTTTGGCTAATATATCCTATCTCCAAACTGCTAAAAAAAAAGAAAAGCCCATAAATCCAGCTGAAATTCATTGTCTTAATAACAGGCATCACATTCAGTAATTCAGCGCCAGCCCAGCTGACTTTGATCTCACTCAGAGGGATAATTCTCCCTACTTCCCAAGAAACTTTCCCTA